GGATGCGGAGGTGTTGTTTGATTTCTCTGAGTATTCCAACGGACATGAGCGTTCGATTGGGGATATGCTGGGCTCCTTCTCTAGAGAATTTGAAGGGTGGCAGGCCGATGCTGATGAAGAGGAGAACCTCCCTCCGACTCCTGCTCATGAGATTATTCGCCCCGTCGCCGGACTGGGTTGGTATGACGACAATGAGAGATCGAGGTACTCTGATGTTTGTCCCCAGGCTTTGGTCATGAGCATTACCAGGGCAAATGCAGAGTTCAACGCGGCATCAGAGAGTCCGCTGACGTTCCCCCTCCGCAAAGACTCGTTGGAACATAGCCCCAGAGCCCTCACCTTTTCCGAGGTATCCTACGCGGCCGAGAAAGGAGATGGGTTCACGACAACGAAAGCTGGTGAATTCGATAGCACACCCATGAGGACAGTCTTTGAGAATACGAGCCAGTTCTTCAAGTCAACCATCCTGGAAGACAAACACTGGATATCAAAGCCAAAGTCACCTGCATCCCCGGGACGCTCTTCCTCCGTCTACTCCTCAGACTCCTCGGATAACGCAGGCTCTCTCTCCCCCACCTCTAAGGCATCCCCAACCTCCCCGAGCGAGGGCGAAGAAGACGAAGAAGAGATAGATGGCCTCCTCGACATCTACGCAACCACATCCCACCCCGACCACGGATCCCCCCTCTCTCCCACAACCGACAAAGACCTCCTTCCCCCTTACCACCCTTCCTCACCATCCGCCCTCGTCCCTCTCACCACAATCGCTCGCGGCCTCTCCCTCCCCCAAACAACCCCCTATAGCACCCTCCAAACCCACCTTGCCCGCAACGCAAACATCCTCCGCTACCTCGTCCTCCACTGCATCCCCTTCCCCTCCATAAACCCCCTCGAACCCCAAACCGACCTCGTCGAACCCATCCTGCCCCTACCCCTGACCCCCGGATCAGGAGACTACGCTCGAAACTTCCCCTCCCACCCGCGCAGGCGCGAGTACACACGCCTCCTACAAGCCGTCCGCTCCGTACAGTGGTCAGCAGACGCCATCAACGACATGCTGGCCGTGGTAGACTTTCACTCCCCTCTCCCGTCCCCTTCATCTCCGTCATTCTCGACGGACCCTTCGCACAGACGAATCTCCACGGCCCTACCCGCCTTTCGAAAACTCCGCGCCGCGGACGCAGAGCGGCGGGGGTACCTTACCTCCACGCAGCTTCACGAGCTAAGCATGCACGGTATCTCGCTCCTCGACGTGCTGCAGATGAACGACGTCCCGCGGGTCGTAAGCTCTGGGTTAGGCGGGCGTCTCGTTGCTGCTGCGGCGTCTGGGGCGTTGGGTGTCGCGAGGGAGTGTAATCTGCTCGACGAAGAGGGGGCGTTGCTGGAGTTGCTTGCTGATCCGGAGGAGGAATTTGGCTCGAGGTTGAGAACTCGGGACCAGGGCAGACGTAGTGGAAGGGGGAGCGGATTGAGGTGTTGTACTGGTGTTGATGATGAAGGTGAGACAGGCGACGAAGAGAACGGGGCGGATAGCGACGACCAGATGAACGATGATGAGGATGAGGGGTATGGAGATGGAACGTACATCGATGGCCTTGTGGACGATGTGGGAACAGGGAATGTCGTTGGCGATGATGGGGCGTACCTCGTTAGCCCCTTATCTCCCGAAGCATTCACCGCAGACCAGACCTGGGAGGAGCAGGGTGGTGTAGCCTCAGCACCGACGACATCTCAACCCTCCGAGGACCTCATGACCTTCTCTGACGATGACGAGGAAGAAGATGAGGATGACATCTACGGTCCACCTACAGACTGTACTTTTGAACAATCGGAAGCGGAGCTCCACGTGAAGCCGCTAAATATACCCAAGAGGAAACCCGCACTCAAGAGGTCCCATCACTTTCGAGAAATCCAGGCCTCTGACGAAGAGACAAAGACGGCTGTCCTGGTCAATAAAGAGACAGGCGAGGACCCCGAGTTGCGACGGTTCCTCGCCGAGATTGGGGCGATGCCTGTAGTTGCTGGCACGTCGGACGTCATCATTGAGTGAGGTTAGGAGGGACCAACAAGAAATTGACGAAAACTTGTCACATCCTATATCGAGAAATTCGTGCGAGATATCATTTTATAGTCCACAGGAAAGGAAGGCGGGATACGAATATAAACACAGGTGGAACATTTGTTGGTTTGGCGATAATACCTACTTACCCTATCTTAGAATGGAAATAGGAATACTCTGAATATACAACAGGACCAAAGGTATATACCCCGCCTCAATCCCAATCCCGTCACCAGCAACAGCAGGCGCCTCTCTAGGTCGGGAGGTCAGGACAAACTGGCTGGGTGGTGGAAATGGTTAAAGGTCGACAGTCAATTTATACGCCAAGCAGCCTACTCGACGACAGGCTTAGCGAGAGTATCCGAGTTCGAATCCCAGCATGAGCACCAAGAGATGTAGCCACACCGGTGGTGAACTCTTTTTCTTTAATCAGTCTTTGAGAACACTTCATTTGATATGTGTAAAATAGTCGGACCAGAAAACCAACAGGAGGGGACATGAGCGTAACTGATTCTTGTACGTCACAAGATATGATACATCCATACAAAATAACACATCCAACGGGTATCTTTTTCTCCTTCTCCATCTTTCTCACCATCCTCTCCATCCTTTACTTCATACGTGAGCCCATCCATTATACACAAGCACCTGCCCCTCATTTATCAAACAATCAACCCCCTTCTCGCTCCTCATCTTTTGATCACCACCACCGCGAGCCTCCCACTCCTTCAACCTCTTCCTCACAACCCACTCCTTGACCCTCTCGCTCGTCAACACCCGCCTCACCCGTCCCTCCCAAACCCCAACCACAATCCTCCACACAGAAAGCCAACAACCCCTGCCACCACCCGGATTCACAGCCTCGTACGCAGCAGGCGAATACCCGACCCTCACCCTCGGATTCACAAACACCCCCAGCTGCTCCGACAAAGGATTGTCCACATGAACGAGACAACACTCGCTCGCCTCGAGATGCGCCTCCTCAGCCAACGAATCGTCCACCCCGCGGAACGCAAGCCTCTCGATACCCCCAGCCGCGCCCCGCCGATTCGCCAAAAACGGCGCCGCCGGCATCGCCACGATCCCGTTCCAGCAGCTCCGCACGGGCACGGCGTCCGAGTAGGCCATCATGGCGGCGCGGCTCGCCTCGGAGCGGAAGTACGGCCACCGCTGCATCAGCGTCGCTTGACCCGCCGAGTCGCGCAGCGCAAAGGTGTCGTAGTAGGAGGGCGGGTGGGCGAAGTCGAGGGAGCAGGCTGCGGCGTAGATGCCGCCGTTGGTGTCGAGCAGCGCGAGGACGTCTTCGGTCTAGAGTTTTCCATGTCAGCTCCCCCGCTCTTGCCTTTGAGGCGATTCACATGCGCAGTGCTACCGCTCGCTGCCCATGTTCAAAAAGAAAGAGAGACGCAAGTCTTACCGTAAACACAACGTCATTCAAAAAGAGCACCGTATCAAACATCTCCCCCTCCTCCCCCAACTTCCACAAATCCCGCAACGTCAAATTCCTCAACCTCGCAAGAAACGGTATCCTCCTCATCTCCCTCTTCCCCCTCGGCGTCGTAATCCACCCTTCCCTCTCCTCCCCCTCCGCAGGAACATCCTCCACCTCCTGCGCATGCGTCCTCTCGTCAAGCACCACATTCCTCCTGACCCCCCTCTTCTCCAACACCCCGTCCAGCTCCCTCAGCGCCGCCTTGGTATCGTCCCAGCTCCCGCTCTCGTACACCGACACATAGACATTCTCGCGCCCAAGCGCCTCGACGAGGTCTAGCACAGCCTTATTCCAGTGTGTCCGGATCACGGAGGCGTCGTTGTAGTGCATTCCTGCAATGTAGATGCGCTCCGCGCGCCGCGGGCGGGAGGGGTCGTGGCGCGGGGCCGAGGTGACGCGGCGCTGGTAGCGGAGGGCGTCGAGGAGGACGTAGAGGGTTACGATGAGGGCGAGGTTGCGGAAGGGGCGGGAGCGGAAAAGGCGGCGGGCGCTCAGGCGGATGCCGTTGAGGAGGCCCATGGCTTTTTCTTTCTTTCGGGGTGAGCTCGGCGGCGGCGTTGCGCTCGAGCTTAACCGTCGGTGGTCGTTGGTTCGGGTCGTGGTTCGAGCGGAGGGCGAATCGGCGTCGGGAGACGAGGCCGAAGGACGAGAGGATGTACACGATAAAGTCAGTGAGCAAAGACCGAAAATGCGAGATGTATCGTGGACGCCATTGAACCAGCTTCAACGATATAAGAGAAAGAGAAAAAGGGAATCCTCCGGATGTAGGAAGCCGATCTCCCTCCTTCCTGCACTGGCCAAGACGGGCGAGCGAGAGTCTTGTATTATCATCCGTAAGATAATACGTAAGGCAACACCTGGAGGCCGCGGGGACCTCTAGGTGCTCAGTAATACGAAGTAGCTTTTCCGCAGGGATCAGCTAAGGGTCCCGTCACTATGTACTGTCACTAATTACTGCAGTTGGTTTTGCCCGGTGTCATTGGGCCCCGGCAGGGCTGACAGGGTCCGTTTTGGAAGCCTGGAGAAGACGGGGAGCCACGCGATTGGTCGCTGCGACACAGCTCACCCCTGCAAAGGACGATGACCGACACGACCTCAAGCATGAGGGAACATTGACCAAGGCATAGCATGACTTGAATGATGCTTCGCTCTGATTATGCATAGAAATGCCATCAATAGGTATCTGTACCTCAGGAACATCACAGCTTCACATGAAGAAAGGTCCTCTGGAGTATATCTTTGGACTCAAGAAAACTACTAATACACTCGACGTCCCCAATCATCCCCATTTTAATCCTCTGCTGGACTCTATGGTCACTGTGTTCCCTTGACCTGTTCACTCTGGGTCGTTGGATGTGAGAGCCCGTCTGACTTCTGGGGCAACATCTTCTAAAAAGGTATCTGTATCATCAATCCCCGCGTTGGGTCTTGATGTGAACGGCTTGCCATTTATTTGGCAAAGTGCAGGTCGTATCCGAGCCACTTGCGACGGACAACCTCCTCAACCGTGAGGCCAGGGTATCCGTACGTCAAGGGCAGGAAGAAGTACCAGCCGGCGAGGGCAATGAGAAGGATGACGCCACAAGCGATCCAGGCGCCAGCGAGACTCTGACCAGCGAATCGCTCGCGGGCCGAAATGTGTCTCTTAGGTCCCTCGGCCTTCTTGTTGCCCTTGATGACTTCGTAGCCCTCCTCGGGAGCGGGCTCGGCGGTGAAGATGAACTCCAATAAAGCACCAGCAACCAAGCAGGAAGCCAAATGCGCCGGCAGGTAGTGGTGAAGGAAGAGTTGACGGCCCATCAGATAGAAGGGGAAGTAGTGAGTAGCCCAGGCAAGGAAGAAGAAGCCGGTTGAGTTGTACAGACGCGAACGGGTACCTGCTGATGATTAGCGACGGTGTCCTAGACAAAAAATGATACGCACGGTACTTACGGTGGTCAAGAGCGTCAATGCCTCGTCTAAGTGACACCTGGTCCGCGCCGATGATACCGGCAAAGACTGCCAAAAGACTGCTGGCGAGCCACCAGCCGATGGGGTTACCAAGGAAGTAGATCTGCTGGCGGGTGTCGTTCTGAGTCCAGAAGCTGACACCGCGGAGCAGGAAGGGCCACTGGTAGGGGTGGCTGGCGTACGGGTGGCTGCTGGTCAACTGGTTGTTGTGCCAGAACATGGAGCGCTGAAGCTCGAACCACTTGCGGAAGAAGGGCAGGGTCTTAACCTCCTTCTCCGGCTTCTCGCGTCTCTTAGAGTCGAGGGGGATCGCGGGAAGGTCCTCAACAAACCAGATATTGGAGCTCGGCGCCAACTGCTTGTTGCCGTTGATTTCCTGCTGCTTGTGGCCCCATTCGGGCAGAGGAGTGGTGTGCGTCCACATGGCAACCTTGCTGGGGTTGTGGATGAACTTGAAGTGACTCGAGATACTCTTGAACTCCTGACCAGGCTTGCCGTTCTCGACGCGGATCTCAAAGAGGGTGTCGTTGAGACGGTCGCCGTACGCATCAGCCAAAGGCACCGTAGTGAACTCCTGGTTCGTAGGGTAGTAGGGCGAGGCGACGTCGTGGGACAGCAGCATGGTATCGGTACCCAAGTGCCTGAGGCGCACAACATCGTTGTTCTTGACGGCCTTGCCTGTCTTCTGGTCGTCAACCAAGGGGATGATCTGCCAGTAGTTGTTGGTGTCGTTGTAAGGGTAGCCGGTAACCTGCTGGCCCTGACTGGAAACACGGCCGTCATCGTAGCGCAGAGGGTAGTGGTCGTCGTGGCTGTGCAGATAGGTCTTGGTCTCCTTGTGGCGGATGCTGATGGTGTCGTAGTACTCCACGGTCAAGGAGTTGGCCAACATGACATTGTCGCTCAGCGTCTCCTGGAACTCAGGAGTCATGAAGTCGTCGCCAGGACCGGATCGGGTCAGGACGGCGAAGTGGACCTGGAACCAGAAGAGGTAGAAGAGGAAGGGCATGATGATCAGGCCAAAGGCGCGAGCAGCAAAGTGCTTGCCAAAGTCGGGAAGACTCAAGGCACCGCCGGGTCTCTTGATGTCCAACAGGCCCCAGAGATCGATAATCACAGCGGAGCCAATGGTGACGAAGGCGAAGAGTCCAACGTACTTTGTCGAGATATCGGCAGACAGGGCGAATCCGGTGAGGATCAGCCACTTCCACCACTTGCGCGAGAAGGGCTCGTGGCGCAGCTTGTAGAACTTGATATAGCACAACAGGCTGCAGGCCATGGCGAAGACGAGGGTAGCATCGAGAAGAATCAGACGCGTCTGTCCAATGTGAGCGTTGTCGAGCAAGACAAGACCGGCGGCCAAAAGGCAGGCGGGCAAGCTGTAGCCAGACTCCCACATGATGAGGTAGGTGACAGAGACGGTCAATGCGCCGAGAATGGCGGGCAGAGCTCGGAAGGCGACATAGGGCACCTTGTTGGAGATGTAAGAGTCGCCAATATTCTCGAAGTGGAAGTGTCCGTCATAGCCAACGAGCCATCCCATAAAGGCAAAGAGGAGCTTTCCGAACGGAGGGTGGACATCGAAGAAGTAGGTTCTCTCGAGGTAGTAAGAGGCAAACTGTGGTAGAGGGAAGTCTTCGTTAGCTATCATGTGTTCTGGTGATTCTAATTCTGCATTGGGTTTTCCTCTCTTCTCTTTTCTTCTTTCCTCCATTGGGAGATGAGTATCCGACGTACCTTGCCAAAGTGAACTTCGTCAAAGACGACCTCATTGGGATGGCTAATGCCCCAGAAACGTGTGACGAAGGCGAGAATGGTGGTGATGAGAAGTCCGACGCCGTACTCGGGCTGGGAGACGGAGCGCTTGGTCTTCGCACCGGCCTTGTTCAACGACTCGACGACGGCGTCAGCTGCACCGGCAGCGGGCGTGGGAGGCCGCTTCGCATTGTTGCGCTGGCGAACGCTGCCCTGCGGGGTGGCAGTCGTCGACGCCATGATGGGGGGTGTGGACGTGGGGGATTCGATGAAGGAGCTGCTCGGCGATGGAAAAGGTTTGTCAGTCCAAGCCTTGAGGCTGAAAAGTTTTGGGTTCCAGATGTTTGCGAGCTGGGAATATTTGATCCCTCGGGGGGCAGGCAGGTTCACCACAGAAGAAGGACAGATAGCTCCAACTGGAGGGACCCTAGGGGATTGGATTGGATCCAATCGATGAGTGGTACGTATCGCACTAGGTACGGTACTTTGGAGCTGTAAGGGAGCGAGCTCAGGGGCTTGTAGCTAACTTACACGCTATGAGGAAAAGTGGAGCGCGTCAGCCCTCACGTCACGTTTGGTCAAAAGTTGAAGAGAAGGAAGGGAACGCAATATAAAAAGGTGACGCGTTAAGGAATGACTTGAAGAAGAAGAAGGCGAAAAAGTTGCCTAGGGGAGAGAAAAAGAGAGGGCCCGAATTGACTTCTCACGATAATGGAGAAGAAGATTGAGAGACGGCAGAAAAAGGGACAAGGAAGATTAATCGTCTTCCCCGGGAACTTGAGCGGAAAAACTTGGGAGACCCCCTGACGACGTGCAGATTGCAGACTGATACTGAACCTTCCCGAAGACCAGATGGCCCTATCCGTAGGTAGTATCCGTAGTCTCAGAGGCTAAGGTACCTTAGGGGACGGGATAATCTTTGGGGCAGGGATTGATCTCTGTCTCCAGGGATCACCAAGAGGACTGGACACTTGGCCAAAGTGACAGAGCTATCAATAAAATCATCTAGGCATTCACGCACTCATTCTGGTTTCTTACTGGGCATTCAATTCATTCCATTGGATGGAGCTGCGCTAACAATTTCGGAGTAGTGTTCCAAGGGCGGCTTGGGGAGACTACGGAGTACAAGTGGACTCCTTAGAATCGGTAGAGAGCAAGGGCAGCTCCAGCCCACCTCACCTCATCTCACCTCTTCCCACCTTCCGCCGCGATAAGATAAGTATCCCATGATGCTTCGTGGAGCCTCTGAATCTCCGACACAAAATCACTTTAAGAGATACATTGTACGCGTAGGCAGAACAAGCTGCTCCCCAGGAACAAGTATCGTCTTGTATGACAGGAACTATTCAAAATCTTCGAAATCTTTCCTAGCCAGTGGCCAATGCCATAATTTCTGGCCCAGGCATCTGAATGTACAGATGTTAGATACCTAGTCGAAATACAACTTCAAGAATATGCCAGCGGCGGATACACTACAGATAGATATCCAATAACAAGATCCCACAGACATGGTATTCAAAAAAGCTTACAGGCAATCATGCAATGCCATGTCAACTTGTCAATCCAGGGCGCTGGAAAGCCACAACCTGCAACTGGCCGCGCCGACGCACGCCGACGAACCCACCCCTCCATCCGCGCACCGGGCCCAGCGCCGAAGAACGGAGGGCGTGCCGCACCACACATGCCACCAACGGCACCCCGCCCGAAGCCCGCCCATCCAATCGTGAAGCTCCAACTTTATATGTAGACCCTCAATTCGCCGCAGTCCGCCCTACCTTTACCTGTGTACTCCGTAGTGCTACGTCTCTGCTTTGCTCCAATTGCCCAATTGCTCATAACCCCGCGATAGATAGTTCTCTCGTCCTTTTCCCCTTCCCTTCCCAATGTCCTCACTCCTCAGATCCGTCACAAGACTTTCATCCCGCGCCGCCGTCCGCTCAACACCACGCATCATCACAAGATTCCATATTCAGCCCTTTAGCGTCAACACAGCAAAGATGTCTGAGCAATCCATCGTCTTCACTAAGAACGCCCCGGCCGGTGAGTATTCTCTCAGTCTCATCCTACTCACCTCAAACTGGTGACTCCAAGTAACACTAGCTAACAAACCAACTCGAATAGCTCTTGGCCCCTACGTATGGAAACACCACACTCTCTCGTCATGGGACTCTTTTGAAGAAAAAGTCTAATCTAACCATCATCAACCCCCAACAGTCCCAGGCCATCAAGACCCCCACCGCCATCTACTGCTCCGGCCAGATCCCCCTCACCCCCGAGGGCACCTTCGTCGAGGGCTCCATCGCCGACAAGACCAAGCAGTGCATCTCCAACCTCAAGGCCGTCCTCGTTGAGGCCGGCTCCTCCATTGAGAAGGTCGTCAAGGTCAACATCTTCCTCGCTGACATGGGCGACTTTGCCGTAAGTTCCCTCCACCACTCCTACCCTTCCCCCATTTTCCCCTGCCCTTTAAATTTTTTCTGTGCTGTTTCTCTTGGTTTATCCATCTTGATCCGCCCCTGACAATCACGAACAGGAGATGAACGGCGAGTACGAGAAGTGGTTTACCCACAAGCCCGCCCGCAGCTGCGTCGCCGTCAAGACTCTGCCCAAGAACGTTGACGTTGAGATTGAGTGCATTGCCCTTCCTTGAATGGCAAGATGTACCTTTCCGGGAGAAAGCTCGGCCCGTGAAGGAAGTGAGCAGTCTCTGTAGATCATAATGAATACAAAAAACAAGTGAAACATCCATCTAGACGTGTTTAGCTCAAGTGAACGCCCAAGGTACCCAATGGAGTGTACAGGAGCACGAGACATGTAGAATTGCCCATATGATTGCTTAAAGTATGGTTCTGTATGTAAGTTCTCCCTTGCAGTACCTATACGTGATCCGTGGACCGTGATATCTTCACACGCTGGATGAACCTCCTACCGGAAAAGCAGCTTCGTAGCTACATAAACCACCCTGAACCTCAGCTGCAATACAGAACCTCTCAGGAGAGCTCATCCCAATCAAACCTCAACACCTGCCAGGATTAATAGCCTGCAATCCGCTTAACCCTCCTAGATCCTCCTCACGTCATCCCTCACAAAAAGCAAAAAGGAGAGCCTCGAATGCAAGTAATATGCAGAAAGGTAGCTTGATGTTCTACACGCCCTTCCGTCTATCGGTACAAAATACACGCCCACCTAGGGACTTCCCCCTCCTCCACCAAGCCAAAGCTGTGAAAAGAGGGAAAAAAGGCCCCTCGTTCACTCTATTTCGGTCTCCCAGTACAGTCGTAGATTTCGTCGTCTATTCCTCGTCGTCATCGGCAGCCTCAACGTACTTGTGGCGGATGTCCTTCCATTGGCGCTACATGTTTCAATCTCTTGTCAGCGAACAGTCCCAGCCTACCATATAGTGACCCTGCACCTAAATTGTGCCCATTGAAGTACTTACGCCGCGGTTAAGGTAGTCCCAGTACTTGTTCATCGCGCCGTTGAAGCCCCTAGAGCGCAAATGTCAGCCCACATGTAATTCCCTCTCAACTACCCCGATACCTCCGGACCCATCGGCCTCTTCTCTCCCCGAGGCCTCGCCCAAGGCACCAGCAAGACGGATTATCGCAGGGGAGTGATCTCACATTTCGAAAGCGAAGCCCGTCGCAAAGACAAAGCCAAGCATGGAGAAGTTGTTCTTGAAGATAGCGCTGTACCACCACTAGTTAGCACATACGTCCCTTCGTCTACTCATTTAGGTCCCAGATCCAATTCGCGCAAGCATTCAAGCTGAGTATATTCGGTCTCGGTCGTCGGTGAAAGCTGCAGGAAGCAGAGAGAGGGAAAGACTTGCGTGTAGAAGGGGCGAGCGGCGGCCTAGAGAGAAACAGAAAAGTGAGCGATTAGCCAATTGCGGTAGCGCGACAGGTGCCCGCAGGACCTTGCACATACCATTGTGAATTATCGTCTGTCAAGTTCGCACGTCTCGTGTAGTGACAAGTGGTGCTTCGTTGCGGTCGGCGAGGCGATGGATCGTTCGGGGGGAGGGTGGGTTGAATCGGATGGTGTTGGGAGTCTTGACGAAATTCGCGATGTTCCGGGAAGCACTTAGCTTTGCCGAAATACATGGGCTCTGATTGGCTCTGCGATCCACCTTCCCTTTAACCATCAAAGGCTGGATGACTAAGGATCGAATGTCGCAGCTGTCAACACCAGCCACATTCGCCAAACGCCACAGGTCTCCTTCCACACTGCCATTCACTTGCAAGTTGCGGCTTTGTTGTACATCTACCTTGAGCACTCATATGACGTTCCGGTGCGACAAATTTGACGCTCATTTTGTTTGCCCCTTAACTGTTTTTATGGTACTGTTAAGTTGATACGACACAAATTTGAGATAGGTCGTCCAAACACGTTTGGCAGTGATAAACGACCAGTCGCGGAAGCTCGATCAAAAGAGTTGTTGTTACTAATTACTACTATTACATGATTACGAGCCTGCTGTTGCTAAATTCTTGATTCTTAACCCTCCTTGATAAGCGAAACGCTGTGATCATGGCCGCCAATCTTCGCCTTGGCATGGACCTTCACATTGTGCATCCGCTGGCGGAACGGCATGTGCTCCTGCGCTCTGCGGCCTCTGAGTCCAGTGTGTGTCCGCAGAGGAGGTTCGAGACCGCCAGTAAACTTGCGATGCTCCTCGAGACGCTTCTCCGAAATCGTATCAGGCGCCCACTTCTTGCGGATGAACCATGGCAGACATGAAGCCACCCACGCGTCGGGAATGAGACGGATGAAAGCTCCCCAAGGAAGAGAGATGGCGCCGAGGCCGATAGAGAGACCCCATTCTTTGCCATTTAGAGCATGGATCTGGAATGCCTCACCTCCCTTGAAAATGATGAGAACCTGACCACCAATCATGATCAGGTTGATTCCGATGAAGAAGTAGTTCTTGGTGATGTTTTCGAAAATGTTGAACCTGTTATCTAGGCGGCGATTGCTAGTAGAGAGTTAGCTGATCATTCATAAGTTTTTCACCATAAATTACGTACTTCAGTTCGTTGAAAATCTGCAACCAAACAAATGTGTTGAAAACGAGGGTATTCAGACTCTTGGTATCATCTTCGGATGTGCCATAGCCCAAAAGGCTGCGTCCAGCAAAGTTCAAGACAAAGGTGATCACGAGCTGCAAAATTGCTTGTCCCATAATCATCTTGGCCATCCTCAGCGTGATAAGTGACGCAGACTTTCGGTCAGGCTTGCGGTCCAGGACACTGCGAGTCGGCGGGTCCGTGGCAAGCGCGAGCGCGGCAAATGTGTCCATGATCAAGTTGACCCAGAGCAGTTGGACGGCGTTGAGAACCGACTCCTGTGTAGGGCTGGCGACTGCAGAGACAAATGTCAAAACAACAGCGGTAACGTTCACGGTCAGTTGGAACTTTGACTTATTAGCGGATTCCGTCTAATCACTTCACTCATGCAACTTACCTGCAAGAACTTCTTTACAGAGTCATTCACAGCTCTTCCCCACATCAGGGCCTTGACGATTGAAGCAAAGTTGTCATCCATCAGAATGATACCAGATGCTTCTTTCGCAACTTCGGTGCCAGCAATGCCCATGGAAAAACCAATATCTGAGAGCTTCAGCGCGGGTGCGTCATTCGTGCCATCTCCAGTCACAGCAACCGTCTCACCAAGATCTTTGAGAGTTCGGACAAGAATTCTCTTGTCTTCTGGACTGGAACGCGCAAGAACTTGTAGTTTGGGAACAATGTCCTTGAGCTCTTCCTCAGTCTTCCTGCGGAAAGTCGGACCTTCCATGGCAATGCCACCATCTTCGGGGTGATAGATGCCACATTCATTGGCGATTGCTCTTGCCGTCAAGATGTTGTCTCCAGTGACCATGCGGACCACTACACCGGCGCGATTGCAGTCCTTGATAGCATCGATGACGGAAGGTCTCAAGGGATCTTTGATACCGTAAATCGCAATGAGGGTCATGTCTTGGTGAATCTTGTCAAAATCTGCACTCCTCGAGTCCTCCTCGGAGACGGCTTCCTTTGGTGGCCAGGAGTCGAAGTCTCGGAAGGAAGAGCCAATTGTGCGAAGGGTTTGGCCAGCGTACGAGTCAATTGTTTGCGCGAACATATCCTTGTCCTCCGAAGTCAAGTCGACCACGTTGAGCTCGGAACCACTTGGGTTGTCCAACACCTTGGTGCATTTTCCGAGGAGAATCTCAGAGGCTCCCTTGACGTAAGCCCTGTATTTACCGTTCGAGAGTTTGACAACAGTAGCCATGTACTTGACTGCCGAATCGAAGGGGACAACTTGAACCACGTTTGCGTTTGATCGCTCCTCTTCGACAGGTCCGGCTCCTAGTTGATCCCGGCTGAAAGTGAGAAGGGCAACTTCAGTCTTGGACCCGATGAAAGTGTGCTCTCCTTCTTGGTCTCCCTCGAACGCAGTGGAGTTGACAGCATTGCCTTGAATGAGGAGTTGCTTTGTCTCGGAGCTCAGGTCTTTGGCAAAATCTCCAGCTGAAACATTGCGAACCGAGTTGACGTGGGTTTCGTCGGAAGGCGACGTACTGTTCTTGGGCTTCTCTTCTCTTGAGGACTCAAGAGGAGCATCGGTACCGCCAAAACTGATACTCTTACCTAGGGTCGTGGCAACAACTGACATCTTGTTTTGCGTGAGGGTTCCCGTCTTGTCTGAGCAAATGGTGGTTGCGTTGCCCATTGTCTCGCAAGCCTTGAGAACTCTCACCAAATTATTGTCTTTCATCATACGTGATGTTGCAAAAGATAGCGCTAAAGTAACAGCTAGAGGCAGTCCCTCGGGAACAGCCACAACGACAACGGTAACAGAGACGATGAAGAGCTTTAGGAATTGCTGACCCTTCTGCTCAGGAGTACCATTATTTGTGGGAAGTCCAACGCAGAACTTGATGAAAAGGACAATGAACAACAGCAAAGCTGCGGCAAAACCAGCTTTCGCAATCCAATCTGCAAGAATGTTGAGCTTTCTCTGCAATGGGGTATCTTCTTGCTCGGTTCTGAGAGACATGGTGATACGGCCATATGAAGAATTGACACCAACTGCAGTGGCCAAGAAAGTACCAGTGCCTTCTTGAATCTTGCTGCCGGAGATGATGAAGGGGTCCATTTTCTCGATATCAGGATGATCGACATTGTCTTTTGCCATCTTGTCAAGAGCCTCGTAGACTTCGTCGGCGCCGACCTTTTTGAGCAGATCAGACTCGCCTGTAGCCGATGACTCGTCGCACTTGACCCCATGACCTTCAATGAAGATGCCGTCAACTGGTACCACTAAAGAACTATGCGTTAGCCAGGGATCGACCAGATGTCTCAACGATAAACACTTACTGTCGCCTGTTGAGAGATGAACGACATCGCCAACCACAATGTCGTAGACAGATATTTCCACCGACTTGCCAGAACGGATGACCTTGACAGTGCGATCGTCATTCTTTTTGTTGAGAGTGTTGAACTTTTGCTGCATTCGCCAATCGTTGATCGAGCCAACCATGACAACGATAACAATGGCAACCATAATGGCAACACCCTCAACCCACTCGACTCGAGCTTCGCCCGGTGCATGGCTTTGTCCAAAAGTCTCGTATAAGCCAAGCGCAAGAGAGACAATGGCGGCAATCGACAACAAAATCAACACCTTGTCGTTGTAGGCGATCCACACCATCTGTAGAAATGACTTTTGCTTCTTGTCAGGTAGCTTGTTATCTCGAAACGCATGCTTACGATCCGAAAAGCCACCGGTGTACTCGCTTGGTGGAGGTGGGATGGGGATATCATTCTTCGCTTTTGGGTCAGGCTGGGGGACTGTGTTTCCAGCTGCTCCGTACTTGGGCACGCCTTTGAGGGCCACCTCTTCGAACGAAACGGCGTGATCCAATTTGTCTTCATCAACACCCAAGCCGGTCTTGCGATTGGTTTGCAGACCCTTCTCTAGACCAGCAAGGCCCCCGAGAGCATAAAAGGCGTTGTGACTTTTTGGGTTCAAGAGCTTGCTCAAATGACCGGGGGCGAAAGCGAATTTGTTGTTATCTTTCGTGTTAAACATGTCTTCGGTGCCGCGATCAGGAGTCAGAGCATCTGTCGTATCCAGAGAGAACTTGCGGGATCCATGGTGGTTCTCATCCTTGGCTGTCTTGGTCTCGATATCAAGTGGTTGTTGCTGACTCTTTTCGTCCTGATCCGAGACATTGACGGCTTTCTCGGCATCTTTGTTGGTGGCCGCCATATTGGCAATGAGGACTAAGCGATATGGCGAGAGGTCTTCGAATTGATGCAGTATCCAGATGCGTGAGTTGATTTCTGCCGGGTATTATTCTAGAATTGTCTCTCGAAACAAGATGTGTTGGGCCAAGCAGGGTGTTGATGTTTGACCCCAACAGTCACTAAACCAGTAATGAAAAGGTAGTCGAGGCGACGAATAGATTTCGCCAGCACCGGTGAATGTGAGATACGGAAGGAGTGAATGTTGTCGCGCTTGCTGAATGAGTCGAATGGAGTGCGGAAGCTCTGAGGTTCACCAGTAGCGTACCAAAGTCAACAGAAGGCGCGGTGATGCTTTTGGGAGGCCTCCTCTGAGACGTGAGGGAAGGAGCAACCACCACAGAAGTGCACAGCGATTTGGGGAGAGATGAAGAGGGAGCAACAAGATAAACAGAAGAAAGAGGAGCGGGAGATGATGGTATTGTCTACCGTACTCCCTACGGACAGAGAGATGAATGCACGTTCAGTCCCTCCAGTCTGCCTTGCCCACTAGGTCAGTACAACATCCTTGGCAAGACCCAACTTGTACCTGGTTATACTCAAGCAACCACAGCATCATCATCACTTTCACCTGCCGCAACATCTTTCACAAAAGCCCGACGCCTACCTTTTACCCTGCATAAACCGCGGCACCCCGGAGATCAAGCAAGCTGTACCAATCATCGGACGAACAATGACGATGGAAAGCTGCTGTTGACCACCAAAAGGCTCGGAGGAAGCTGACCATGGAACGGTCAATGCCAAGAACGAGCGTGCAGGGCTCTGACGATTGTCGCGAGCGCATTCGCTGGCTGCTCTTTCAAGTGGTTTCTGGTTTGATGAGAGCGAGACCAATATGTCGCCTAAGTCTTGGCGAACGCGGACTGAGTCCAGAAAGCTTGACTGGTCGAAAGAAGCTTGTGTTTTCTTGGCCAAGTCACCTGTACAGACGAAGATAGACCGTTATTTTTGGTACGGAGTGTTGCTGAGAGAATTCCCCTTAATATCGATTCTCCCTCTCATTTCGTCAGCGAGTGTCGCAAAGCGCAGTGCATTGCAGTTCAGAAAGTTACCTTGCCTCCCTCAACTGAATTTGGCGGTAAGCGTTTCTTGATTCTGAATGGTCTGAAGTTTGGCTCTCCCCAATGAGGAGGGAGGGCGCGCCATGTGCCACTCCCTCTCAGCCATGGTTGTATGTTTACATCATGCTGCCCGATGAGGGAAGCGCCATTCATCCACGCCTTTATGCCGGCGGGAGCGTTGAGAGGTGGCTTGATGGGAATCACACAGTCGGCAGAGCAAGCAGTGCTGATACTTTGCGTCTAGATAGCGGTTGATAACAAATGCTAAAGGTCAGAAGCCACCGCCTCAGACTCAGAAAGCGGGTGCAACCCGAATGGAGGATAATCTGGTTGAAACGGGTGATGAGGAAGCTGACTTACAATGGCCAGACGGGACGGCTTGGTGCGCTGTCGCCCACATTCCACCCTGTCAATGATTACAATTGCCAAGACCTGATTGTTTTGAGACAGCACAGAGCACAGCTGGACAGGCAAACCGAAGTGTAAAAAACCTGGCAGCACAGGGGTCGGTTTTCGCTAACATGGGATGGCACAGAAAGCACCGTACTTCCCGTCTTCTCCCTCAGATTTTCCTCACCGAAAGATACGCCGGCTTTCTGCAGGTCTGACCAGTCCAAAAGATGCGACACACGTGGCGTCATCCTGACCAAATCAGTCAACTACCTACCTACGCCAGCCCTCTCGATGCGGGAGAATGTGAGGGAATCTGTGTATGGTCGCCCGACCGGTGCCTATCTCCCTCTCACCTCCTCTTCCTTGCTCGCCTGCAATGGCAGATCTCCGACGGGACTAAGTATCGGTATTCTTAGTGTATTCGTAGGGATGGAAGATGGCAACGTGTGTGAGGCGCTGTCCTTGCTGGTTACCTTCTCGTCTGGTGTTCCTGGATCCGTCAGAGTGGATCATGTGCTTTGAACCAATCAGCGTGTTGTTTGTTAAAAGAAGGTTCAGACCCCAGAATGGTCAGTGCGCGACGCAGGAGGGGTTGTTTCGACCTCACCTTCCACGCTCGCTTTCTCTCCCACCAGTCAATTCAAACCCGACGTGAAAGCTGTCGACCGTAGCTTCGCATCGAAACCTGGCTTTCGGCCGGCCCTGTATTCGATCTCTGCTCGATCCGCAGAGGTAGATCATCACGTTGCCCCGACGTCTGCAGCTCCCCCGGCCTTCCGCGAAACGGCCAGGCTGCACGCACATACCCCGCCATCCCCCTGTGCCGACCTCAAGCTGCCAGCTGCCGCATCGCATAAGTGCTAGGCCATCACCGAACGCTTTGGGCCGCCGGTGAGCACTCGCCCCAAGCCTGCCTGAACGGCACAGCCTTGCGACGAACATACGAAGCTCTCGTTTGGAGCAGTTCCTCAAACACGACCAGACAGCTTGTAGCTTCTTGCTGCGATCAGCTCTGCTGAGCTGTCAGAGTTTCTCGACATCATGCCCTCCGAACCTACCAAGCCCTCTAATGCGGGTATCATCACGGATGATGCCGGCGAACGCCAGATACCCGAGTCGAAGCGAGCAGACGGCAGCGTCCGCAAAGCCATCAAAGTGCGCCCCGGCTACCGCCCTCCTGAAGATGTCGAAGTCTACAAGAACCGCACTGCCGCTGGGTTCCGCGATCGCGCGACAAGAGGTGGAATTCCCGGAGCGACAGGCCTGAAGGAAGAGAAGCCCGACGCCTCCTCTGCCGCGAGTAATAAGAATGCAAAGCGTCGAGAAGCGCGGAAGAAAGCCAAAGCCTCCGGCGAGGAGGAAGGAGACGATACGAAGCAGATCGGTGGCGACGGTAACGCTGCTAAGGCCGAAGAGGTTGACCCTGAAGTCGAGAGAGAAAAGAAGGCTCGGAATCTTAGAAAGAAGCTGAAGCAGGCAAAGGACCTCAAGGATAAGAAGGAAGGCGGGGGGACGCTTCTGCCAGAGCAGATCGCCAAGGTCATCAAAATCAACGAGCTTGTTCGCGAACTGGATGCTTTGGGTTTCGATGCCGAAGGAGAGCCCAAAACTGCCAATGGGGCTGACGGGGAGTCCAATGCGAAGGATTAATCAGCTTATCAGTGCTTCTGGCGTCTTTTTACCTCGACACCAGCTCTGCCATGCGATCAATCAGGGCACAAGGCAGGCCGCCATCATCTTTGCACTATGCACACCGCTCACGTCGAATGGCTGCCTCACTACGATGTGCACTTACCCTAAGAAAACTCTCAAATAGGGCTTTCGAAACGGCCGGCAGCCACAGAGCGGTTATAGGATCAGTTGGTCTTCAACAAGCTCGATACAAGAGATTGCCTGGTTCGGGGGTTGCATGATGCACGGTCTCAAGATAATCGACCACCCCCGATTCTCTTGTGACGATGGCGGATCCGATCTTACATTTCTCTGTATGGGCTTTCTAAAAGTCAAAGAATGTGCAATTTGGGAGATGGAAGCAGGGCATAACTTCGTCTGGCCATTGGCATAAAGGTGCTTTCCAACATGTAACGCTAGACGATGGTGGATCAGCAAATGGACAAAGCTGATTTGAGAGTTGTGGAATATGAGGTAGTTGCCTATATAAACCCCCGCTGCTTCCAAGAAAAGAAACCTCTCTACTGCATCACGCACAAATCAAGTTTCTATGGCGCCTGGACGTGATTTTTGTCGAGGAAGTGGTAACACCAACAAGCCAACACACACGCCTGACCACTATCTGCATGATCCAATGCTGATGCAGATAACGGGAACCCAACCGCATTGATCTTGCGGGGCAAACCGTCTCAGCCATCTCGTATAGAGGCTCCAGGTTGCATTGCCTACCTGCATTGATGGGGCCAGATCTCCTGCCCAAGTGTTTCGTATCAGAGACTCGTACGGAGTAGGTCAAGCCTCTTTGCCTTCTTCTTCATCCCGGGGCCGATCCTGATCGCCCCGGTCATCTTTCCCGGAGGCCGATGGGAGCCCATGGCTTCCAGGTGGAGAGGGATCTGTTCCGGATCGTATCCGGCTTGCGCCGTGGGGTTCGGCCGGGGGTTCATCTTTGTAATTTGTTCCGGGAGAAGTGGAGTTTGCAGGTGCTCGGTTCCACCAGGAGAGATGCAATGTAAGCCTTCAATACTGACAAGCACCCGAGGGCATTTACTTGAATAGAAACGTTCTCGAAACGAGAACAAATAAGTACCTTAATGAGTTAGACTATTTTCAATAATCTCTTGGACCTACCTTAGGGTGATGAGATGTTGTGCATGATCCGGACTCGACTAAGAGTGAGGCTGGGTGTGACTAGTAATCAGGATGCTGCTAAGTTTCTTTTGTTCTCGATGCACCCGCAGAATATGCGAAATTTACGTTGAAGATATGGATAGATGCGAGAAAAGAAAGCCCCGATATTGACGACGAGCGGGTAGGTGGATCCGGGCTAGTCTCCGAAGATGCTTAAAAGATGCTATTGTATACTGTGTATGATTAAATTGAGATTCGCCATTCGATAATATCTCCAGACGAGACAAATTTGCTACCTTAGTAATTATGGCTTTCTATCACCAACCTAGGAGAAATGGAAACATTCCTCGCGTCGATAATAACATACGTGGGAACGGAGGCGACAGATTTTGGTCTCAGAATCTCCCATGAGGCTTACCACCGCATTTACGGATAGCTTCAAGCAAGGTATTCGAAAGAGAGTTGCGAATTAGTCCCGTTCATGAACTTCAGCTGTCGCCGTGAAGACTTCATTCGGCAGTAGAAGATTACTGGCTCGGGGTTTCTGTAATCAGACATATGAAATAGTTGTAGATCACGCTTGGGACGCATTCATCTTTTGGCCAACGGCAGAGTATCGATGCTGTTGACAGTGGGTAGTACAAACACATACCATCCTCCGGATGAGCCGGAAATAAGGATACCAGTACCTAGACACTTGAATTGAAAGTCCAATTAGGCAACTGATGAATCCACCGATGAAGTCGCTATCCGATGTATCGATTAGCACGATTCGACGCTGAAGTAATGCCGATATCTCTGTCTTCTGGCAGTGGTGGATGGGAAGCATTCTATATAAAGGCACAAGGCAGGGGTGGCGGGGCGAGGCAGCCGGGCGCGGCCAGGGAGACAGCTGTCGGCATCGCACCGGGAGCACCCTGACTGCCTGATTGGGGGGACCCGGGGGCCGAGCGACACTCTTTGATGCGCTGGTGTGGCGTCAAAGCTAGGGTGGAGCTGAAGCTTAGCCACCCGACTCGCGTGCTGCGAAACATACCTCCTACGCTGACGTTTCCCTCCGGACATGTGTTTGACTTCGACGACTTTCCAACCGACACGTTAATCACCCAAGTCAATTACCGCTGGGCTGGCCCGTACGATCCCTCCTGCTGTCTTCCCGCGTCCGTCTCGGGACGAATCTTATTGCTTTTGGGCGACCCTTACTCCCTCTGACAACCTGTTCTTTTTGATGATCACCAATATCCAGACGAAGCTCCGAACATGAGGCTAAGGGGCCAGGCTGCCGCCCCGTGGCGCATCCTGCTGTCTGTCTTAACCTTGACAGCAGCTGTCCAGGCAAAGGACGAGCCGACAATCAAGGTTACCACAATCAAGCATCCTCCCATCAACCTGAATTACTTCGAAGACTCCGACTCTATCCTCTACCACGATGTCTCCGAACGAAACATTTATCGGTCCGACGATGCGGGCGTGTCCTGGAACAAGGTCTCAGACGTTCCTGGCGAAAAGGCCTACATGCTCACGATGCACGAATTCGACAAGAGCCGCGCCTACGTAATCACCGAAGGCAAGGAACACTGGAAGACCTCGGACAAAGGCAAATCATGGCAAAAGTGGGAGAGTGTCGCCGGCACCAGTGCCTTCCGCGAGGACATTCTCCATTTCCACGCCGGCGACCCGGATCGCATCATCTTCAACGGCATGGACTGTGCCGGCATCTTTTGCGAAGAAGTCTCCATGTACACAACGGATGGCTTCAAGTCCAAGGCGAAGCCCCTCAGGTTCAACACTGCGGGATGCTGGTGGGCCAAATCTTCGGATCTCTTCACAACTGGCAAGGACGACCTCGATAAGCAGCGGATTCTCTGCATTGTCCGCGACAGCTTCTCGCCTTTCAAGGAGGACCAGCGGCTCTTTGCGTCGGACAATTACTACGAAAAGATTGACAACAAGATTCAAGAATTTGAGCCGAACATGGATACAACCAGAGGTGTGCAGGGTGTCGTCAACTTGGCCGTGGTCAAGAAGTACTTGATGGTTGCCACTTCATCCCTAAACACGGATGAAATGGCCCTCTTCGTCACAGACGACACCATCAAGTGGCATCGCGCCATGTTCCCCACCGATCATGGGCACAAGATCAACCAAGAGGCTTACACCGTCTTGGAAAGCACCAACTACAGTATCCAGATTGACGTCATGAACACAAGACCTTCGAACCCAATGGGTGTCATGTTCACAAGTAACTCCAACGGCACTTTCTTCATTGAGAACCTTGAGCACACAAACCGCAATTCCCGTGGTCACGTTGACTTTGAGAAGATCACAGGTGTGCAGGGCATCTTCATTGTCAACACTGTGAAGAACTATGAAGAGGTTGAGAAGGACCCCAGAAAGGAGAAGCAAATTGTCACCAAGATCACATTCGATGATGGTCGAAACTTCCACGGCCTGAAGGCGGGTGACGATGAGCTGCAGCTGCATTCTGTCACTGATCTCGACAACGTTGGTAGGGTGTTTTCCAGCCCCGCCCCTGGTCTTGTTCTCGGAATTGGAAACAAGGGTAAGGCTTTGACCAAGTTTGGCGAAGGAGACGTTTACGTGTCCGACGATGCGGGTGTCACTTGGAAGAAGGCTCTCGATGGCCCTCACAAGTACGAGTTTGGTGACCAGGGCTCCATCCTGGTAGCCGTCAAGGACTCCAACAAGGAAGATGTGGGAGAAATTCAATACTCCTTGGATCACGGCGAGAATTGGAAGAAAGCCTCGCTCCCGGATGACCTGAAGATCAAGCCCGAGCTGATCACAACAACACAAGACTCGACCAGTCTCAAGTTCCTTCTCGTTGGCCGGACCGGTGGCGATAATGCCAAGTACCATATCATTGCGATTGACTTTGAGGGCCTGCACGAGCGAACATGTAAGGACGACGACCTGGAGGACTGGCACGCCCGCCCCGATGCCGATGGCAAGCCTACCTGCCTGATGGGCCACAAGCAGACGTACCGCCGCCGCAAGAAGACGGCCGACTGTTTCATGAAGCAGGAGTTCAAGGACCCCGTTCCCGTCACCGAAGACTGCGAGTGTACGGATGCGGACTTTGAGTGCGACTACAACTTCGTCAAGGATGGTGACAACTGTAAGAAGGTTGGCCCCATCGTCGCGCCTGACAATGCCTGCAAGAATGCCAAGCCGGACGACACGTTTAAGGGCTCATCAGGCTGGCGCAAGATCCCAGGAAACACTTGCAAGCGTAAGAGCGGCGCGCAAAAGGATGATGAAGTTGAGCGAAAGTGCTCCGACATTGGCGGCACTCCCAGTGCGCCTGCTGATGGCAAGATCAAAGCGGTTCAGCACGTCTTCAAGACAGACCTGAAGGACTTTGAAAAGATTTACTTGGAGAGGGGCGACTCGAGCACTGAGGCTGACGAGACCATTCTCGTCCGACCAGTCGAGTACGCCGGCAACAGCATGCGAGCCGACAAGCAGATTTGGCGAACAAAAGACCACGGCAAGACATGGGACAAGATTCTTGAAGACGAGGAAGTGCGCGGCATCTACCCCCACTACTACTTCAAGGACGCCGTGTTCTTTACCACCGACTCCAAGAAGGTCCTGTACACGATCGATCGCGCGGAGCATTTCCACTCTTTTGAGGCGCCCACGAAGCCCGGAACGAGCAACCCTCTCTCCTTCCACCCCGATAAGAAGGACTGGCTCATCTGGATAGGCGAGAAGTGCGAGAAGATTGATGGCAAGGACCAGTGCTTCAAGGAGGCTTCGATCTCCAGGGATCGCGGTGATAATTGGAAGACGGCCATGCGCTACGTTCAGAAGTGCGAGTTCAC